CTCCCATCTAAGACCATCTCAGTCTCTCCTTCCCTCCCTTATGGCTCCCATGGTTCCTACCCCTACTCTATCCCCACTTTTTCAGGCTTGCTATCCCCACTCTTTCAGGCTCACTAGCTATCTTTTCCTCCCTTCTTTCAAATTTCCTTCATTTCCATTGCTCCCAGGATACCATCATCTTTCACCTGGGCTTCTGCACTGTCTATCTACTCTTCTTGAGACCAGACTTGAGGCCCTAACGTCCATTTCCCACAAAGCAGCCAAGGAACATAATATAGTCAATAGGAAATTAGATCATACCACTAAATCTTCCACCCTAATAGCCCTTCTTGGTTTCCCATTGCTTTTAGAATAAAATTCGAGCTTCTGATGAACATCTATAAAGCCCTACGGGATCTGGTCCTAGCTTGACTTTTCAACATTGACCCCAGTTAATCTCCTTCTTGCTCACTTCAATCCAGGGCCTGTTTTCTGCAATTTAAACTCAACCATCTCAGTCTTTCCCATTGCTGTTCTCTTTGGACACTTTTCTCCCCCCTGTCTTTGTATGCTAACACCTTCATATTGCAATATCTATACAGTTATTGTTTATAGGTTATGAAATGATTTTGCCTGCACAATAATAATAGGAAACCTTTATGTAGCACTTAATATAAATCAGACACTGATTCTAAGAACTAAACATTTATATTAATATATTAATTTTACATTATATTAGTTATTCATTTATAATTTAATTCTAACATTAACCTATGAGATAACACTATTGTTCACCTCCCTTTTACAGGTGAGGAAATCGAGCACAAAAGATTAGAAGAAATTAAGTAATTTGCCTAAGGAGGCCTTAGCATGAGTAATTGAGAAAACTGGATTTCTTTCTTTCTCTTTTTAATTTTTACTTATTTTGAGAGACAGAGCACACAAGCAGGGGAGGAGCAAGAGAGAGAGAGACACAGAATCTGAAGCAGGCTCCAGGCTCAGAGCTGTCAGCACAGAGCCCAACATAGGGCTTGAACTCATGAGCTATGAGATCATGACCTTGAGCCCAAGTCAGACGCTCAACAGACTGAGCCACCCAGGTGTTCCGAGAAAGCTGGATTTCAACAGAGGCACTCTGGTTTTAGAATCTCTGTTCTTAACTGAGTCTCTTGATTTAAAATGTCTCTTTAGGGGAGCCTGGGTGGCTCAGTCTGTTAAGTGTCTGAATTTGGCTCAGGTCATGATCTTGCAGTTGGGGTGTTCCAGCCCGCATTGGGCTCTATGCTGACAGCTGAGAACCTGGAACCTGCTTCAGATTCTGTGTCTCCTTCTCTCTCAGCCCTTCCACCCCCCACCCCCCGCCTTTCGCTCTGTCTCTCTCTCTCTCAAAAATAAACATTAAAAAAATAATAAAAAAAATAAATAATAAAATGTCTCTTTAATTATATAACACATAATGGATATGCTTTTGGAAATATTTAATGAAACCTACACAAATTATGTAGGATTTCAATTTCTTTCTGATCAAATTTTGTTCTCCTTATTTAAAAGTATTCTTAAAATACTTTAACAAGAAGTATTTTGTAAGAACAACAGGAGTATAAATCCATTTCCTTTCTAATGTGATCTATTTACTTGAAACACTCTAAGCAGAATATTTGCTATATGAAGATTGTGATTGAATAATTGCATATGCTAATTAATACAGCAAATTAAGTTTCTTGGTAAATACTACTGGAAATTTTAAAATATCTTTTAAATTGTTCAATATTCTAGTACATTTATTGTAAATTTTCATAAGATAATTTTTCATTTATGATAATTATATCAATGATGAAATAATTTCAATAAAACGATGCAAATGTAGAGTGATTTTTATTTTCTCAGGGTCAGATATTAGTTATCAGGAACACGCTGAATGTTCTCACAACAGATTTTCTTAGCAGATATTTTTCTGATAGGACATGGAATATTGATTCTGGTTCATGAAACATTTTAAAAAGCAAATTTATTAATTCACTAAATTTGTTGTAGTTTTGGTAAAGAACCTTATTTAATCCACTGTGACTTTGCCACTACCAAAGAGGATGATTATAATAGGATCTTAAAGATCTAGGAGACCTACCAGTTTCCCCATCAGAATTCAGAAATAACAAAAGAATAAATATAAGGAATGACCGATAGAGACAATAATTCCAGACTTGCAGCTGAAAAACTAGACCATTGAATGTGGTTTTGATATGTGGCCACAACAGGCTTTTAAAACCTTGCTTCCTAATTCTTAACCACAGAGTCACAAAGGAAAGGAGAATGAACTGCAGGACTTCCCAAAAAAGCAGCGTGACAGAGAAAAAGCAGACTAGAATTAACTCTACAGCAAGGCAGACATGAAAGAGAAAGAGAGAGTGACTTTGAACTCAGCAACTTCTTTTAACCTAACACTGAGGAGAAGTCAGCAAGGGTGGATGAGGAAAGAAACCAGGAATGATGAGCTCTGATTGTGTTACCCATGCATGTCTTGATATAAATCATATGGGATTATGGAATTGAGCACATTAGCAAAACATTTCCTTTGATTTCTGGAGTGCATGGAAAAATGAAAATCTTCAAAATGATAAATAAGACTACTTGAGCAGAAAAAAATCAACACAATAGTTGTATCTATTGCTATAAAGTTCTCAGCTATCTACACAGTTTTTTCACTTATAACAGGCAAACCAAGTCACCAATATATCTTGACTTCATTCCAGGTGTTAAATGAGTACAACATTATTTTAATAGTCAAAGAGAGAGGTTGGGGATTAACATGGACTGAGAAGTTATTTTTAAAATTGTTTTTCCTCTAATGCCATTGTTCAATAATATTCATTGTTTATATGAGAAATTTAAATAATGCCACTGTTTTACATAAGAAATTGAGTTAGACATAACCAAATAAGATGGAGATTTTCCGGTAGGCTGGTTACATTGTAGAGCATCATGTTTCAGTCTCCAGAATGTACTATCAGTATGTTCCTTTGTATAGCACCTGGGGAAATTCAGACAAAAGGAAAGTTTCTCAAAAAGCATAGATAAATCAAAATTGCTTTTTATATAGAAAAAGGATCTCTGTCATCTCCTACCAGTACAAGATGTTTTGAATTGGAATTATACCTAATTTGAAATAAGCTCAACATCATATATTCATTGGGTTTCCAAGCTCCAACTGGTTGAGTTAGCCATCTACCTGTAGGTATAATTGACAGGTTTGGCAAATAAAAAATACAGGGTTCCCAGTGAAATTTGAATTTCAGGTAACAAATAAATGTTTTAGCATAAGTATCTCACAAACAATATTTGGGACACATGTGTCAAAAAATTATTAGTTTTTATCTGAAATTCAGATTTCACCAAGCAGTCTCTATTTGGCCTGACAATCCTATCCCTATGCCAGGATACAATTACTTGTGTCCACTCCAGAGACATGCAACCAAACATGTTCTTTTTTAAATATAAATGTTATGATTTTATTATTATAATGGTTTTATTGGCAAACTTATGGTGAGTTCGATTACATTGCAGTTTATTGTCCTTGTAAGATAAAGATGTTCATTTATAGACTTTAAAAGTAGGGCACATCTGCATATCAACTTGAACTATCATAACCGAAAATATTATTAAATTTTGCTCATTAGAGTGATAGGCTTCTAGTTAGAGGAATACAGTGATAGACATTATTTTTAAAAAAATGATACATATTTTCCAGTGCAGGAAATTATTAGAGTCAAATATGTTGGCCTAAAAAAGACCTTTACTTGATGCATTTGAATATTGATATATCTCCATTGGTATGAAATACATTCTTAGAGTTTGGATCAAAATGCAAAACTCAGTACTTTTGTTCAGGAACCAAGCTTATCTGCAACTGAAGTGGCTAGAAAGATATTGTGGCTCTAGAGAAGGATTTTGAGCAGTATCCTCACAGCCTAAAAATACTACCTTTGGGAGGATTGATGTTTACTGAAGTATGTGTCCACATGGCTTTACATTTACATCTTATAGCTTTCGCAGCTAAGAAATTGAGATCTCAAAGCTGTTTTATTTTTAAGTGCCCAATATAATGCAAGTTAGCTCTCCAAACTTGAAGGCTGACAATGTCTTCAGAGTGAATTGAAAAAAAATGAAAGAACATAGCCTTTTATTTTAAAAATACATATTGTCTTAGAAGAAAAACAAATAATTTAGCAGTACACTTTCCTTGAAACTTACAGTTAATTCTACGAGAATCTTTATATTTTGCAAAAACATATCAGGTATATCTTATAACAAAGTCAAACATATTTAGAGCCTTCAACCTTTTTAGATACATTTCTATTGTGTTTTCTTTTTTTTTAATGTTCATTTGTTTACTTAGAGAGAACGTGAGAGCGGGGAGAGGGGCAGAGAGAGAGGGAGAGAGAAAATCCCAAGCAGGCTCTGCACTGTCATCGCAGAGCCCCTGACATAGTGCGCTGTCTCAAGAACCGTGAGATCATAACCTGAGCCAAAATCAAGTGTTGAATGGACATTAACTGAATGAGCCACCCAGGCACCCCTCTGTTGTGTTTTCTAAACAGAATGTCATCAGATGATTTTTCACAGAATTACCCATATGAATATTCATATCTGGGATGGCTACCTATAACCACAATTAGTTTTTATAATGAATAAGACATAATAAACTAATAAACATTTTGTCTATTTCTTTAATAGAAAGACTTTCAGTGTAATAGCTTAAAGAGGGTAGAATATAACTGTAGTTGTTCTGAACAGAATTAGATACTTTATTTCTATCATCTGTTGGAACAAAAATGAGTACCTGTCAGACATTTCCAATGACAGTAATTTGAAAATAGTCAAAGTTATGTACACAATCATGCTGTGGGCAGAACTATAGCAAGCTCTCGTTGACAGCTATATGGTTTGAAGATTAGATGCTCTACAGTAATTCCTGTAATTTTCTGTAAGTAGTATAACAAACTTGGCATTTATTTATCTTCTAGATGAAATGAATGATCATCAAAGTACCCTCTCCTACATCCTGATTAACCCGTCTCCAGATACCAGGCTAGAGCTGAATGATGTTGTGTAAGTTGAACTCATATCTCACATAAGGCATTTATTTTTAGAAAACCAGTTAATTTATTTATTTTTATATTTTTGTTTTCACCATTATAGTCCCTTATTTCTTGTGTCATAAATGCTTAGAAACTCCAAGCCTAATTTTTGTGTTTAATAAACAAATGTATTTCATGTATTTCTATGTATTCTATGTATTATGTATTTTCTATACTATAAAAAACATTGTAGAATGTAGATGCATAAAAGAAGGAAAGAGCAGAAGAATTCTGTATTCTGAGCTCCTATATATTTGGAGAAATAAGAGAATATATGTGGAATAATAAGAGAACAGCTTAGAGGGAAACTTGATATACCCCACACTATCTCCTCAATATCTTAGAGTTTCCAAAAGCTCTGAGTAATATAAGTCAAAAGACTTACTAAGAAAAGGTCTATGGTAGTAACTTGATTAATCAAAAACTCTGTATTATGCGTGTACAATTGCATTAGTGTTTCCTTAAAAGTGCAATAGAGATTAGATGTTTTTCCTGACTTCAAAGTGCTTACATTCTAATTAACAAAACTGCAATTTAAACATAAAAAATTTAATAGCAATATATACTATGGCTTTGTTACTAATGAATTAAGCATCCACTGAGTGTGACAGTATTTTTCTCATTTCAAAGAGGAAATCTTACTGTGAATTACAGTGATTACAGAAGATATAAGGACTTGAACTAGACTTTGAAAGGTAGATAAGATTTGTGTAGTTGGAAAGCACAGGACATTCCAAAACAGGGAAATGGATAGAGAAAATGCACTACATGGGGATTGCATAATATGCTTCATTTGGCAACCCTACAGAGTCCAGTTTGACCAGAGTAAAAAAGCTTTGTATTATTAGCATCTCTGTTGTTAATTAAACCTAATATTGGAAACATACATTAAACCTGACTCTGGAAGGACTTTAGGTGAAAAATATGGAGTTTAAACTCAGTTTAAACCTTATAGGCAAGGAACAGTGCTTAATAGATGAACAAGGAAGTAGCAAGATTTTAGAAAGGCATTTTGACAGTTCATGGTGTCAGCCTAGGGGAGAAATTCCTAATGTGCATCTGCCCTTGAGGTCCAAGGTCCTGAGGCTGAGCTGGATCAAGAGCTGCTGAGCTAAGTAAGGTAGCTAACTCCAGGTTTGATTACTGACTTAATACAAATACCAAAGATCCAAAAGTCTCAGCGGGTGTTAGGTCCACGGGATGTGTTTGTATCTATAATCTGGAAAATCATTAATAAAGTCAGAGACTAAGAGGACTGAGAACATTCTGTGATGCAGAGCATGAAATGGATCCTTGCAAGTGGTTTAGAACTAAAGCTAGTAATGTGCCAAGATTTAGAAGCCTACCTTTATATGTTTTGTGAGAGATTTCTGCTGAGATGGAAAGGGTACTTTTCTTTCTTTTTTTAAAGAGCATTGCAAGCAGCAGTAGAATTTATTGGCAGGATGGCTTAAGGTTGAAATAGACATGAAAATAAGGAAACCAGTTAAATTGTTGTTAGGCAGGTGTGAAGGAGATAAGAATCTCTGGATGCATTAGGATAATGGATTGTAAAGGCAGGTTTCTACGTAGATACATTTATGGAGGCAAAGACTAAGACTTGTTCATTGATACGGGACTTGGAAAAGGAGTATAACATGGCAATTCTATTTGATTGCAAAATAAATAAATGAATGCTCATTCACTGAAGCAAGTCAGAAAAGGGAAGCAATTTTCTAGGAAGGAAAGGGGGCATTGTTGGCTGTGGAGAAAAAGGAAATGATTAGTTTTCTATTATGAATAAAGCTGATATGAACATCCAAAAAACAAGAGAGATAGATGACAAGCTAGAGTTTAGATACATCATTCAGTTGGCTACATGGAAATGTCTAGAAAGCGTAAAGAAATAGAGTACTGGAGCTTTGAAAGGAAGCTAGTTCTATGTAGAAAATATTTATTTTTCATCTTCCAGATAAGCAAAGCTAAAAAGATAATGACTTTAGGGTAGATACATAAGTGTGTTTCAAAAACTTCTTAGGAAAATACATCAGCAGGAGTAACTTTGATCCCAAATCAGTGTGAAAACAGCTTATAATGCACCTCATATACAACTAGTTAGTATAATGCTTTATTTTGTCATTTGATGATACTGGTTAGAGTATAGGAGCTTTGGGGAATGAGATGAATGATAATTTCACCTGTTAGAGTTCTTAAAGCAGCTGTCAAAAATTATGTCCAGTGGTGATACTGAATTTATGGAGGACTTTAAGTGGCATGAAAATATCTTATTTATGATGCATCTGCTTTAAACTGCACATTCGGGAGACTTTACCTGGTATATTACTATAATAAAACAAAACTGCTCTGTTTTTCTTATGTCCATATTTATATATGTCTTTCTTCCTTTAAGCCCATATTTTTATTAATTGTCAATTTTTAATGTTTTATTAATTTTTATTAATTTTTCATCTGCTAATTGTAGTCCTAATCTTTTTATGCCTTTTTCAAATTAGTTGTAATTATGTTCATGATATAGTGTTTTTAAGAAGTTATGCTTACCTTATTCATATTTCATAATAAATTATAGGTTTTTGAACTTAATATAATTATTTCCCATGACTATTTTTGAATGAATGGGGAGATTTTGTTCATCTTTTGAGTCTATAAACATGTCCTTTCATTGAACATACATTTATAATTTAAAATAATTCTCCCCAAATTAAAACTTAGAAATAAAATATGTATGTTACAATATGTATTTTACAGGTAAAATAAACATGACATTTTCTGCCTTATTGATACTATTATTTTTTATTTATTTAAGCTAAAACATCAGTTTGACTGCTATAGGGAAGCCACCTTTTTTTCAATGATCCGTATTTGTGGCCCTTAAAATAATTGTTTTACTATAACTGGAGCAATGATAAATGCCATGAAAAAATGCCTACTGTGACAAGTATTAAATAAAAACATGTTTAAGAAATTTATTTTATTAGATTCATAGGTTTAGTAGTGATAATAATAAGGGAAAGCAACTTTTGCAGCTATTTCAATGAATTCAGGGGATAATGAATTATACTTTTTGTTTCTCTAAAAAAATGCTTTCAAACGTTTAATTTAAATAAAGGGGCAACATTAATTTGGCTCAAAGAACAATAAGTAACTAAGTGATTGGTATTAAGCAGCTTAATGTTCTTGAAATAAATGAAAATGAAACTACAAAATATCAAGATTTGTGCAGCAAAAGCAGTTCTAAGAGGAAAGTTTATAGCAGTAAATGCATATATTAAGAACTACAGGGGCGCCTGGGTAGCTCAGTCGGTTAAGCCGCCGACTTCAGCTCAGGTCATGATCTCGCGGTCCGTGAGTTCGAGCCCTGCGTCGGACTCTGTGCTGCCCGTGCAGAGCCTGGAGCCTGTTTCAGATTCTGTGTCTCCCTCTCTCTGACCCTCCCCCGTTCATGCTCTCTCTCTCTGTCTCAAAAATAAATTAAAAAAACGTTAAAAAAAAAAAAAGAACTACAAAGATCTTAATTAAGAATTAGAAAGATCTCAAATAAACAACCTAACTCTACACCTCAAGGAACTAGAAAAACAAGAAGAAATTATGCCCAGATGTAGCAGACGGAGAGAAATTAAGTCAGATAGAAAAATAAATGAAATGGAGACTAGAAAAATAATAGAAAGTATCAATGAAACTAACAGCTGTTTTTTTTAAAATAAAATTGACACACTTTTAAGTAGACCAACTAAGAAAGAGAAGACAAATAAAATTATAAATGAAAGAGGACACTACAACCGATACTACAGAAATACCGAGAGACCACTATGAACAATTATATGCCCCCAAATTACGTAACCTGAATAGTTATGTATAAAATAGATACATTTCTAGAAACATACAACCTACCAAGACTGAACGACTGAATGAGAAGAAATAGAAAATCTGAACAGACCAATAATGACTTAAGAGATTGAGTCAATAAAAAAAAATTGTAATACAGAAAACTCCACAGGCAGATGGCTTTAATAGTGAATTCCACCAAATACTTAATGAAGAATTAATACTAATCCTCCTAAACTCTTCCAAATATCAAGGGAGAGGGAACACTTCCAAACTTATTCTATGAAGCTGTGTTACCTGGATACCAAAACCAGATAAGGGTTTGAAAGGAAAACTATAGATGAATATCCCTGATGAATATAGATGTAAACCAAATTCAAGAACATATTGTAAAGATTATGCACCATGACCTAGCGGGATTTATCCTCAGGATGCCAAGATGGTTCAATATATGCAAATCAATAAACGTAATTCATCATATTAATAAAATGAAAGATAAATATCACCTGATCATCTCAATAGATGCAGAAACGGAACTTGACAAAATATAACACCCTTTCATGATAATAACCCTTAACAGATTGGGTATATAAGGAATGTATCTCAATATAATAAAGCCATATACAATAAACTCATTGTTAACATATAAATAAGAAAAACTGAAAAAGTTTTCTCTGATATCAGGTTGCCAAGGTTGCCCACTCTTAATATTTCTATTCAATATAGTATTGGAAGTCTTACCTAGAGTATTTAGGTAAGACAAAGAAATAAAAGATGTCCAAATCAGGAGGAAGAAATAAAATTGTCACCATTTGCTGAAGATATGATTTTATATAAAGAAAATTCCAAAGAGTCGATCAAAAACCTGTTGGAATTAATGATTTAAGTAATGTGAGACATTATAAAATCAACTTACAGAAATCAGTGGCATTTCTTTAAACTAATGATGCAGCATCAAAAAAAGAAATACAACTATCCTATTCACAGTAGCATCAAAAACAATAAAATACTTAGGAATAAATTTACAAAAGGAGTGAAATATCTGTACATAAAAACTACAAAACTTTGTCCCTGGTGTGATTCATCTTACGTGGCTGTTCTGTGGAACAATAGTCGTTTCTCTCTGCCCATCTTCTCTTTCACCTAAGTGCATGTCATCACCACATGGAAGATTCGATGGACATGGATGTGAGCCCTCTGAGGCCCCAGAACTTTTTGGTTGTGAGCTAAAGGCTGACAAAGATTATCACTCTAAGGTGGATAATGATGAAAACGAACACTAGTTATCTTTAAGATCGGTCAGTTTAGGGACTTGTGCAAAGGATGAATTGCACATTATTGAAGCAGAGGCATTGCATTACGAAGGCAGTCCAATTAAAATCACACTGGCAACTTTGAAAATGTGTGAAGAGCCAATGGTTTCCCTTGCGGACTTTGAAATAACACTACCTGTGGTCTTACAGTTGAAATGTGGTTCAGGGCCTGTGCATATTAGTGGACAGCACTCAATAACTGTGGAGGAAGATGCAGAGTCAGAAGACGAAGAGGAAGAGGATGTGAAGGTCCTTAGTATATCTGGAAAGCGTTCTGCCCCTTGGAAGTGGTAGCAAGGTTCCACGGAAAAAAAATGAAACCTGCTGCTGATAAAGATGATGACGAGGATGATGATGATTTTGATGATGACAGATCTGAAGAAAAGTCTCCAGTAAAGAAATCTATAGGAGATACTGCAGCCAAAAGTGCACAAAAGTCAAACCAGAATGGAAAAGACTCAAAACCATCAACACCAAGATCAAAAGGTCAAGAATCTTTCAAAAAACAGGAAAAGACTCCCAAAACACCAAAAGAACCTAGTTCTGTAGAAGACATTAAAGCAAAAATGCAAGCAAATATAGAAAAAGGTGGTTCTCGTCCCAAAGTGGAAGCCAAGTTCATCAATTATGTGAAGAATTGCTTCCTGATGACTGGCAAAGAGGCTATTCAAGAAATCTAGCAGTGGAGGAAGACTCTTTATGAAAGTAGTTTAAACAGTGTGTTAAAACTTTCCATCTTATTTCACTTCTGTACCAGTTGATATCTGACTGTCCTTTTTATAATGCAGAGTGAGAATGTCTGATGAACATTGTCCAGGTTCCATTGCCAAGAATGTGTTGTCCAAAGTGCCTGTTTAGTTTTTAAAGATCGCACTCCACCCTTTGCTTGGTTTTTATGTATGGAATGTTATGATAGGACATAGTAGTAGTAGTGTTCAGACAAATGGAAATGATAGGGAGACAAAAATGTATATGTGAAATAAACTCAGTGTTTTAATAAGGTAAAAAAAAAAACTACAAAAATTTGGGGCACCTGGGTGGCTCAGTCAGTTAAGTGTCCATCTCTTGATTTTGGTTCAGGTCATGATCTCACAGTTCATGGGTCGGAGCCCCACTTTGGGCTCCATGCTGACAGTGTGGAGCCTGCTTGGGATTCTCTCTCTCTCTCTCTCTCTCTCTCTCTCTCTCTCTCTCTCTCTCCCCCTCTCTTTCTGCCCCTCTCCCCCTTAAAATAATTAAATAAACTTTAAAAAAAAACTACAGAACTTTGCTGAAAGAGCTCAAAGAAGATACAAAGATATGTAAAGACCTCTTGTGTTCATGGATTGAAAAGATAAATGTTGGTAAAATGGTCACACTACCCAAAGCCATATACAGACCCTACAAAATCTCTATCAAAATATCAAAGGTATTCTTCACAGAATTAGAAGAAACAATCCCAGAATTCATGTGGAACCACAAAGGATCCTGAATAACCAAAACAATCTGAGAAAAAAAGAACAAATTCAGAAGTATCATACTTCCTGATTTCAAACTATACTACAAAGCCATAGTAATATAAACGGTATGGTACTGGCACAGAAATAAACCTATAGGTCAATGGGACATAATAGAGAGCCCAAAATTAAATCCCTGTATTTATGGTCAACTAATAATTGACAGAGAAGCTAGGAATACAATGGAGGAAGGAAAGTCTCTTCAAAAAAATGATGTGGGAGACACTGGAGAAGCACATGTAGAACAATGAAATTAGACTTCTGTCTCACCACTAAACAAACAAACAAAACACTCAAAATGGATTAAAGACTTAAATATAAGACCTGATATCATAGGACTTCTAGAAGAAAACAGGGAAGAAACTCATTGATATTGGTCTTGGCAATGATATTTTGGTCATAATGACAAAAGCACAAACAATGAAAGTAAAAATCAACAATTGGACTACATCAAACTCAAAAGCTTTTGCACAACAAAAGAAACATCAACAAAATGAAACAGCCTACAGAATGGGGGAAAATTCTTGCAAATCGTAACTCCAATATATATAAAGAGCTAAAACTTATTTTAAAAACCCCAAACAATCAGACTAAAAAATGAGCCTGAACTAAATATTTTGCAAAGAGGACACGAAAATGGCCAATGCCATGGAAAGACGTTCAACATCACTAATCATCAGGGAAATGCAAATAAAACCACAATGAGATATCACCTCACACCTGTTGGAATGGCTATCATCAAGAAGACAAGAGACAACCTGTGCTGGTGAGGATATTGTAAAAAGGGAACCCTTATATACACTGTTGTTAAGAATTTAAATTAGTCCAACCACTATGGAAAACAATATGAAAATTCCTCAAAAATTAAAAATAGATTTACCATATGATCCAGCAATTCCACTTTGGGATATGTTATCTAAAGGAAATGAAAACTGGATTTTGATGAGACATATGCACACCCACGTATATTGCAGCATCATTCACAACAGCCAAGATATAGAAACAACCCAAATGCCCATCAATGGGTGAATGGATAAGAAAGATGTGGGTATTATTTAGCTATGAGGAAGGAGGATATCCTGTCATTTGCAACACGTAGATGGACCTTGAGCACATTATAAAAGCGAGATGTGAGAGAAGGACAAGTATTACATGATATCACTTATATGGGGAATCTAGAAACAAGTCAAACCTATACCAAAACAGGTTGTTACTAGGAGATGGGGAAGAAGAGGGATGAGATTGATGGTGTTTAAGGATCCAAACTTATAACAAGAAATAAATAAGCCATAAAGATCTAATGTAGAGTATAATGAATACGGATAATAATGATGCACTATAATGATGTAATGTGATGAATATGGCATCAATGGCAATCGCATTAAAATATATAAATGTATCAAAACAACGTTTTACATCTTTAATTTACAATTTGTAATGTGTTCAATTTACCAAATTAAAAAAAAAGTTTAATGTGCACTATTAATTGTCTTCGTCAATCTACAATGCTAGTGATATTTAAAATAATTATAAAGCAGTGTGCATGGAGAACTATATCCAGTTAATAGATTCAAGGACATTAATTTCAACTTTTATTTGATTGGAGAAAATAGACTATTGTGTTTTAAATTGCCTTTTCTCATACTCATTAAGGAACATGTTTTCTGAATATTTTTCTTCAGTTTTTAAGAGGAAACGTACAATCCTCTATTAGACTAATCTCTTCAAATTAGGTTTTCTGTTCATTTTTTGTACCTCCCAAATTATTATAAAACTATGAATTACTAGTTTCATTTGCATCTGAAACAAGACTTTCTTTGAGTGCTGCATTGCCCGGATTTACTTTCCTTCTCTCCCTGAAAACTCTCAGTGGCTTCCCACTGCCTTTGGGACAGAGTTTGAAACTACTTTATCCTGAAACTTAAAGTCTTCTGCTAGCTGTTTTCTACGCTTCTTCCTGAATTTACCTTCCACTATTTCCTGGTTTAAACATTCTCCTGAAATCAAGCTCACTTTCGGAAGAGATCAGGAGCAAACCTAGAGACAGAGTTCAGCTCAACCTTCTGAATAGTGTTCCCTAATTCTCTCTGTCGCTTCTTTTTTCTCTTTCTGTGATGTTTGGAATTTATTTTTCTTGTGTTTATCTGCTTTATAAATTAAACTCAATGAATCTTCTGCAGGACAGGTGTTGGGGTTTGCGACCTTTTGTATTTCCAGTTCCTAATGCAGTATTCCAGAAGTACTCAAGAAATGGAAGCTCGTTATTTGAGATCTGAAGTAAAACATCTCTCTTAAAACAAATTATAACATTATTTAAATGTATGAGTTTGGCAGATGAACACTTTCCTATTTACTAGTTGAATAAATTAAGAATTATTTTTTATTTTGTATAAGTGCTCACCATAGCATAACCTGAATTTTAGATTAATTTCCAGATAATTAAAAGGTTATCTCTGCACAATATTCTTCAGAGCATGTATTAAATCATGACTTTTTTTAGAATCCCGAAGTATTTAAATAAAGGACTAAAGAAATTATTTAGATCAAATTTATTTATGAATTATAAAAGTAAGACTAAGAGCAGTTAAGTAATAGAAGTATCATGGCTAGATTTAGGTCTGCTTCTTAGAAAAATAGCCAAAGAAAGGGATGATAAATCAATAGAATACTAAAATAAAACATAAAATTTTGATAAGATGAAGATGGTGAAATGGATTATAACTAAAAAATAATAATTCTTGATTCATCAGTATTTATCATCATAATCTTAGGTATAGAAATAATACAAGTCCTGCAAAATATTTTAGGTCAATTAAAAGTGAGTCCTGCTACCAGTGCTGTATCTAGACACGGTTTAGATCACCTAAAAACTGAATACATTTGAAGCAGGAGTCTAAACTGTAAGTGTGAATTAGTTTTGCCTTTATTTACTATTACAGTTATTTGCTTTGTTTTCTTTTATTAGATACTTAATCCGACCAGATCCGCTGGCATACCTTCCAAACAGTGAACCCAGTCGAAAAAACAGCATCTGCAATACCACAGGTCAAGACTCTCGGGAGGAAACTCAACTTTGATAAAAAGAAAATAAGAGACCTTTTTTTTTTTTTTTTCCTACAAGAATCTTGCTTAAACCAACTCTAAATCTTAGGGGAAAATAAGTGCTGCTGGCATGAAATAAACTCGATCAGAATATATTCCATTCTCTCATATTAAAAGAAATCTATTCTCTTAGAAGTATAGATTATTTTGAAATTTAAAGTATTGCTTCTTGGTACTCCTCCTATTAATATTTGAAAGACATCAATGTAATGATTTTGAAAACCTAAATTAAAAGACAAAATTTAAATTGGTTATTTGTTTGACAATAATCCAAAGTGTATGAAGCCAATTTTTTAAAATATTAAGTTTTTATGAAAGTAAGCGAAAAACCCAAGTATATTTGGTGCATCACAATAGACATAGAAGATTGTTGCTCTTCTTAAAAGTTAAATAGTCATATCCTTTAAACTTGCTGTTTTATAAAATTGAGCTCATCATCAATGTCTAGCCTTCTCTACACAGAGATTAACCAACAAACTTGTGTGGCTGACTTTTGTGTAAGACTCACAATTTGCTTTAGCATATAAATCTTTAAGTCATTTTAACCTTTTTTTGTTGCCTTTCAGATGATATCATATTCATTTTAGTATTTGAGATGTTCATAGCATGTTCTATTACACTGAAGAAACCAAAAAATGTCAAGTACCTGAACTTTTTGCTAACTTTATGTCCGACAACCGTTGTTTGCCAAGAAAAGTGTATTAAAAAGCAAATATTTATTGTTCTCCTAAAAGAATAGCTAACAGAGAAAATACTTAAAGCCCATATGTTAATTTAAATTTAAGCCAAGCGTTGAAACATTAACTGAAACATGCAGTAATGGTTTTCATTAGGCTCTGGAGTTTTAACATTTTCATAATCTATATATCTTATTTAGAAAACTCCTTTAAAATTCAAAGAGGCAAAATGATGCTATTTATGGAATACAAGGACATTTCAAACATTAAAAGTCCTCCTTTATGCCTTTAGTATCGAAATCTCATACACAAAACAGTGGTATCTTAAAAAATTTGATTTAATTTTGAAAAATCATCTATAGGAACTATGTTTTCACACGGTGAGGAAAAACACACGTAACAACAAGTAGTTTTCGCCACTGAAGTTTAGTATAAATTATGAAGAACTTGACAATTATCAATTAAATGTAAATCGCTCCTTGATGCCATCAGTGCTGCTATCTTACTGCTTTATTTCCCTTCAGAAACAGACTGAAAAGCACAAGAGCAGCGTTTGCCAAGTAGTTGGAATGTGTTACAGCATTCCCATGAGAGAGAGATGGGTAAATTTCAAAAGGTATTTTTCTTCTAATTTTGTATTTTAAAAATTTCTGGCCTTGACATTGACTTTTAATTCCACAGAAAAGAAGATGTGTAAGACTAGAAAGAGACATTTTCTTCTTTTCATAAAGAAACAGATAAATTGGAAAGACAGTGGAAGAACTTAAAAAAAAAACATAGAGAAAGCCTAAAATTCCCCGAATAATTCTACAAAAATGAAAATGTAAAACCTAACATGAAAAAAGGATAGATTATAGCCATTGTATAATTTGGCTTAGAGAAGAAGAAATGCCTGTTTGTTATTGGTTTTTAGTATTTTCTATTACTCTCATTTTAGCATAACAAAAACACCAAGAATTTCTCCTAAAACAGAGAGAGCCTATCTTTAATTTTCTTTAATCAGATAAGAAAATAGAGAATTTATAACAAGCTTCTTAAAATTGGAATTGTATCTTAAAACGAAGATTGTATGCATATGCGTGCGTGTATGTTGTAGACACATGTGAAATATACTTGACAAATTTACACATGCACCTATAAATTATTCAGGCTAAAGGCAGAATTGGATTAATGTCTGTAATGGAGAATGACAATGAATTTAAGTAACTTATTTTATATTTGCACATAAAAAATCAAAAATCATATACTTCTTTAAGTTGCCATTTCATTACTCCATTACAGTTATTTTTAGGAATAAATGTAAGATTTTATGAATATTCTATTTCCCCACAAGATCTCAAGTTCAGTATTTTTGCATTATGACCATTGTCAAGACTAAGACTTTACGCTAGGACATGACTATATTTCCTATAAAACTAAAAGTTTTGTTTCATAAATTTTACAATGGTTATTTTTGATTATGCACATTAGTCCAAATTTAATAGTTGACATAATTCATAGCAGCTTGCTCTAATAATGATAGTTTATTAGTCTTTCTGTTATTTAAATAATAGAAGATGCTTATAAAAGCCTTTTAACAAACTGTTGCCTTTTTAAAATACTTAACTTGCACACAAAAGAAAACATAAAGTCAGTAATAGTCCTTGTAATCCTATGGGAATCGGTTCTGTTTATTGTCTATGTACCATTTTGCTACCAGTTACATTGAATTGCTTAAAATAAATAATAAAAATTATTTCTGATGGTGAAAACCCCTTGGTGCTTTTTGCCAAAACTTTAATTGTTTAACCAATTATGTTTTGAAACCACAAAACTCCTTTGCCACTTTTATATTTCAAATCCAACATAAACATGAAGGTCTTCTCATTGGAAAAGATAGCCATAAAAAACTGGTTGAATTGCTTCTTAATGTAATAGTTTCTGAATAACTAATGTAGCAGGAAAAGAGGAGGGAGGAAGGAAGGGTCAGGGATGGGAGGTGGAGAAGAAGTGAACAAAGGGTAGGGAGGAAAAGTAGAAAATAAAAGGAAGGGGGAAAAGAACGAATGTAGGTGCCACAAGAGAATTTTTTTTGTGTGCAAATCAGAGCCAATACACTCATTTAAAGGTCAGAAAAGCACTGGTTAATGAAAAGAAAAATAATTTTAAATACAAAGATAGACTTTTTGGCTCCAGGAAAATGGAGCCTATTCTTCCTGCTAAGTATAGCTTAAAAAAACAAAAAACAAAAATACAAAAACACAAACAGAAATTTTTTTTATGTTATTTACGAAACAAGCATCAGAAGACTGTGAAGTGCAAAGAAGGAAGACAGACCAGGGAGCTGAGTCTTGCAGAACAGCACAGGGTTGAGGGGAGTGAGTTTTCTGGGTTTGTTTGTGGTCTCCTATGTAACTTACTCTGGATATTGGGAAATACCAATGAACATGGACAAAAAAGTCCCAAGAAAAACGTGTTTTCTCCTTCCAAGGGATTGACTCTTGCAGCAGGTGGTGCACAGCACAGAGTCCTGATGATCCTGCAGTGTGTGTGTGGTTTCTCCAGTCAACGTACCCAGGGGCCAGGAGCTACCCTCAGCACCAGTTCAGATGGTCCAGTGCCTCCAGTGAGACCCTTCCCCATGAACGACTCCCCCAGATTTCCAGCAGGTTCTGTCAGTGCAAGTACCACAATGACTTTTCTGCAGTTCTGTGAGCCACTGCTAGGCCATCTCAAGATCTTGATTTCAGTCCCAGGGTCTTTTCTTGGGGCACTGTATCTCAGGCCTGACAATGATGCATGCTTCTTATATATCTGCTGTCGCTATATTATTTTCAAGTTCTCTTTACTTATTACTAACTCCAAAGCTCTGCTATGGCTAATGATTCTCTACATTAAACTTTCTCTATCCAGATCACCATGTGGTTTCTCTGTCCAGATTGAATCTGGGCTGAGACATGATGCACAAATCAGCAGTTCTTCAATCTGATTAAATCTGACATAATATTGATATCAAATTTCAAGGACTGCAATTTAAAGGACAGATTTTGGGGAAATTCCACAAATTAAATAGCACCTGCTGGGAAACTTTTAAAACACACCATGCTCATCCTGTGGAGTATTAGGCCACATTATTTCGCTTTGATCTTCTCCTTTTCTTTTTCTTTCTTTCTCTTTCTTTCTTTCTTTCTTTCTTTCTTTCTTTCTTTCTTTCTTTCTTATAGGACTGCTCTCTAGTCTATTTTATTTGGAGAGACATGTCAACTTTAATTATGGTGGGTCAATCTAATATTATACCATATGGTCCTAAAAGTACAGTTATTTGGCTTATCATTAAAGTCCGTATTCTTACTATTCAAGAGAATTATATTTTATTATTTATATCTAAAATGTTTTAATAGAAACAAAAATAATGATATGTTTTCCTAAGTATAAATCATACCAGAAATCTTTAATAAACTGTACTGTAATTTAGTCTCATTCCTGTATAGTCTCATTCATGTATAGTTATACACAGATATTTATATTTTCTGTTTCTACTATATACAAAATATGTTTCATTTCATGTTATGCCAGGCTAGATATCTTTGCATTTGAAAATTAAATATAATTTCCAAAAGGAAACATTCCTAAATATATAGACTTTCATTCCCTGGTCTGTGTTAATATTCATTTAGAATAAGAAAGCTTGAGATGGTCTTGAAATACAAGTATTTCTTTTCTTTTTTCTTTAAAAAAATTTTTTTTACATTTATTTATTTTTGAGAGACAGAGAAAGGCAGAGTGTGAGCGGGGGAGGCACAGAGAGAGGAGACACAGAATCCAAAGCAGGCTCCAGGCTCTGAGCTGTCAGCATAGATCCTGATGTGGGGCTCAAACCCATGAACCATGAGATCATGACCTGAGCCAAAGTCGGACGCTTAACCAACTGAGCCACCCAGGTGCCCCAGGTATTTATTTTCTTATCTGAAAACTCTCAACTTGCAAAAGACAGGGCTATGAGACATTCTTATTACTAGACCTGAGGTAAGGACTGAAGTTGAGGTTTGTAAATACATTGCTTAGTCATTCAGGGCACAAATAAAGTATATAATGCTAAAGTAATAATTTTTAACTTGCATTTTTTATTACTCATTATTGTCGTATGTCAAAAGTTGTACCAATATGCATCAAATGTAATGGATTCTAAATTTTAATGGAGACCCACAAAAATGAGACCCACAAAGAAATCTGTCAGTGTGTCATTGTGTTAGTCCATTTTTGTGGTAATAACAACAATACCATAGACTGGGTAGCTTGACAAACATTTATTTTTCACA